CAGGTGCACTGCGCCATACAGTCAACAAATAGCTGGATACCCGTAAATAAAATTGCTCAGCAAGTAATTGACAAATCATGGAGAATAACATAATGATTTGCGTATATTGGGTTCCATGGTGGGTGAAATGAAAGATGCATTAAAGAATGTACTGAAAACGGAGGTTGTAATACTGATTTACAGCCAAGTCTCTAAGGAACCCAGAAAAGAGAATAGCCAAACATCTTGGATGGATTATGCAGCACGCTTTCTTTTCTGAATAATGTAGATAATAATCCTAAGATTTTTTTTATAAAAACCGGGATAGTATTATTGACCTTTTAAATCTCTTTTTAGAGATATCATTATTAAATGGTCTGTAAAAAACTGTGAACGTTTTTGACATGATATCTTATGTTTATTGAATATGAGTTGAAATGATGTTTGGTTGCCTAGTTGGTCCAAAGGGCAAAAGAAATCAGCATCATTGTGTTTAATTATTATTCATTCAAGCTATGTATGTTCAAGTACCAAATTTGATTTATGCTTTTTAAGATAACATGTTTTTGTGATTCAGTAGGTAGATTTTGTACCTTTCAATCACTTTTTTTTCATCTGGGGGGTCGGGGTCGGGGATGAGGGTGGGGGTGTAGTACGACTCATCTTTTGGAAACAGATGCGTGATGCCCTCCAAGGTTTCTGGTTTCTCAAAGTCTGCCCCTGAGCCCTAACCCTATCCAATTTGTATCATTGTTACCATGACAACCAAGGTATCCAAGCCAAAGCCACGATGTTCTTCGAGCCCTGACCATATAGATTTTTTTTCCAAACCCTAACTGTGTTACATCACAAAGGTGATTCTTTTCATTCTATCAGTGATTTGAAACAGATTCTGGTCGTTCCAGAGGTCACAGACCAACCGCGTATTTTAATGTTTGATTTGAAGGACTTTTTGAAAAGCCTCATTAAATGTGAATGTGCCGTTTGAAAAATATTTTTTTTACGGATCTCACACATGTAACCAAACTTCATCGATCAGAAGACTGGCAAATGTTTGGGAGAGGATAATATTCCTTTATCATTTGTGGTAGAATTTCCAAATCTGACTTTTGAGGTTGTGTACAGGTGATTGTTACATATGATTTAAGATTTAAGTTTTCCTTTGTTCTAGTTGCGGTAATGTGGCCATTTCTTGGTTTCACATTATCGTTATATCACAATATTTGGGTTTTAGTTACAATTTTTTACTATTTGGGGGAATTCTGTATTGGCTGAACTACTTATAGATTTATCAAAAGTGATGAATGGATTAATTTTTCTTCTGTTAACAAGCAGTGTTCCTTTTGTGCTTTTCAGGAAACAAGAGTCAGTATCACGTCAGCGTCGCAGTGATCATGTTGTTCCTCTCAGTAAATTGCAGCGAAGGAAAACCTGTTTTCAAGCCCCTTGCCTCTTTCTCCCCCTGCACCGCCCCCCTCTGTCTCTCCCACTCCTTCACTGCCCATGGCCTGAGGGAACAGTTGGCTTTCTGAATGCTCTTCCCCCTTTGTGAGCACACATTGATTGGCTCTCTGTTCCCCCAAAAGCAAAGCAGCATGGGGCGCCGGCAGCCAGCTTTTCTGCTGGTGCTGCTCGAAACAAGTCTGAGGGGAAAAAAGAAACACAAGGAGAGGAAATCATCGGGAGGCTTCGGCACAACCTGTCTAGGTATGTCTGGTCTCTCTCTGCCTGCCTCCCCCCTGTAATGAGAATCAACGGGGTTTATCACATTTCCCTCATGTCTTTCTGTCAAATGGGGGAGGCAATAGGTGTCTCCCTGTTTGCAGAGCCCGTTCCCCCCCCTTCCCCCCCTTCCCCGCCTCCACCTCCTGCTCCTCAGTGCCCTGCTGATTTCCTCCATCCTCTGCAATCCTATTTGTCGACCGTCACATCCCATAACACAACACAGTTGTTTGGGAGGGGCGCTTGGTAAAGTTAAAAAAACCACACAAACAACAAAAGCGGTTATCTATCTTTTTAAGTTACATTTTCATGTTCAGTGAAAAAGTTAAATTTGCCGGCGCAGCGAGTAGACCATTAGGAATGCAGTGACTCCACCAACACCATCTCTCTGCATACCTTCAGATACGCCGCCGAGTTGCATGAGCTCTCTGTCCGCGGCAGAGCAAAGTGTGCACAGTGAACACATTTGGACTGGAAGACGGCCAGCGGTCGGCTGGTGGGTCGGTTGGTTGCGGAGGATGTGGGCCGGTCTCTGGAGCCTGCCGGTTGTTCATTCATAAACCAGGTGTGAACTGTAAATGAAAACACAGACATCTCCCCGGCTGAACTTTCAAAGATCACATTGTGCCGCTTGTTGGCGCAAGGGGCGGGACGTGCAGCGGCGGCCGCGCCATTTGCAATTCTCCGAGAGGGTTTGCATGTAAGAAAGGTGTTTGTTGAGAGATGCAAGAAGCATCTATGTCGTCCAAGCTTGGTTCTGAACGGTCCCGAATTTCAGTTTAAACACGAAAAACGCAAAGTAACAATGTGGAGAGGCAACAGTGTGGAGACGTGTTGTGTTGCAGAGATGTGTACCGAGATGAGCTAACCAGTTAGCATCTGCTTTTGGAACACCACTTGTTCCTCCATAGTCAGTCCCAGCAATGTCCAGTCGGCCCTCGGTCCAACATGACAGGATGGGGGGGGTGGAGGGGCTTGTCAATATTACACCCAATGCCCATGCGTTTTGACAGTTTGTAATATTAAAGGAAATGACTGCACAAGGACTGTAGATTTAGATTGTATGGACCCAGCAGAAGAGGGAAACAAAAACATCTGTTAAATGGAAGAAGAGATGGATGTTCACACTAAAACACTGTAGAGTTAAAAAAAAAAAAAAGACAGTAATCCTGTTGGCTTTTATTTACATATTTTGACAATTCTACCGTTTTTTTAATCAGTGCAGCTCGAAATCACAAACGTGCATCGTAACATCCGTCTAGAAACTCCATTCAGAAAATGCTGAGCCTAGAATCACAAATATCTTCAAGTGGTGCGCGGCAGTGTTAACCACAGCACACACATCACAGATGTCACAGCGTTTTGAGAGAGTAGGTGTCACAGCACTGTGAGCGCACAGGTCTGACAGCGTGATTCCTCTAGAAGAATCCCAGGGAAACACTGCTGGAAAAATGGTTGTACGTTTTCCGACCATTTGTCAGATAATGGTCAATTGTTCTGTAACAGTCAATGAGGATTTTCTATGTCTTCATATCATTGAGTGAAAGGTGCATCACACCCTTAAAATGTTGATCCTGTGACTATAATGACTCTTAAGCGCAGGAAAAGCAAAAGACTTACTCACATATTTGATCACACGAGATGCCTGAAGGATACCTGTAGCTCCCCCAGCTGAGTGTGACAAGCTCAAGTGGCCTGAGACAAATTGGCGAATGGGAGGTATTTTAGGCTATAATAAGCGACAATTTAGGAAGTCCTATCAACTGAGCACCCGACGGCTGTATTTCAAATTGCCTGTGTGGTCTAAATCTTAACTTGATCTAGTTGTTTGATTGATACGTTGTTGCAATTTTTGCCTCGTAGGATTCTGACTATGAAGAGTTTCAGTTGTTGAAGCACATTTATACAACACACCTCATTTGCACTGCAGACTGCTAAAACAACTGCCTGACTAAATCATTACTAATTTTAGGTTTCCTATTATCAGGTAGCATTCTTCTACAGATGTATGCTTATTTAACGAACAGCTAGATAAAGCGTTGTTCTGGGTGTCCTCCACTTGCCGACTGAGGTGAATCACAATGTCCTGACATGACTCCCATCAGAGGAAAATGGTCACATGAACTAATTCAGGGATGTCCTGCAAGCCTGGAACGGGCTGAGACCAATGCTCCCCATTCCCCCCTAACTTATGGACAGCTGGGGTGGATGCACAAGGCAGAATGCAGAGGGGGTGGATGGAGGGGAGAGGAGGGGGGGGGGTCACTTGCACGGTGCCTTCTACCATAAGAAGAGACACAACTCAATTCTGACCCCAATCACATCCCGACTCTGCGGAGTCAATCACAGCAGGCGCGGGTGTGTGATTCTAACTTTTGACACGGGGCGCCTCGCAAACGGGTCACAGTGGCAGCAGCAGGTCAGCGTGTGCGCGCTTGCGCGTGTGCGTGTTCGTGGACCGGAGTCTGGATGCTGCTCGGCCACAGACGTCGCTCCTTGACGTCAGCGCGCGGCCCCAGACTGCCGCTGCCGCTGCTCGGCTCTCCGACATGTCTTTGTTATTCAGAGCCTTCCATCAGAGAGCGGCGACCTGCAAAACACGGAGGGCGGCGTCGGTGAGCGCCGAGGAGGATCGACGGGACGGCGGCGGCGTGTGCGCGGCTCAATGCGCCGCCGAAGCGGGGGCGTTTGTTTGTGTTTAATAGGCTGTTATTGTGGATTATGGCTGCTGTTTATTTGGTATAGTCGGAAACAGCGGCGGATTGCATATTGTAATTACCGTGTTAGTTGTAATGAAAGGTGTATGATAAGGACAGAAAATGTAATAACAATTTGTAAATTTGTAAAACGTTATTTTCGTTATTTTTGACATTATGCATTCTTTCATCCATATCAGAATAAATGTTTCAGTATTCACGATATATCTATATATCTATTTATTTATTTCTAAATATATAAAATAATATTATTATTTTAATTTCTGTGACATTTCTATTAGAAGTCATTATTATAAATAATTAATTTTTAAAATAATCATTGCGTGCAGTTTAATTAATCATTAAAAGGAGACACAAAAGAAAATACTACTTGTCAGTGCTTTGCCCCCCCCCACAAAAAAAACAAAAACCACATCCGCGGAATGTGGACAGAGCCGCATGGTACCGCACATCGGGAGCGGGTCGCTCCGGCACATCCAGAGGACCAGATGGCCGCAGAGCTGAGCGTCAGTCCGCCTCTCTCTCTCTCTCTCTCTCTCCCCCGCTCTCTCTCTCTCTCTCCCCCCTCGCGGCTCCCTCCTTCTCCGCGGAAGGAGAAAGAATCCGCGACACGTTTTGTCGGCAGCCACCGAGCCGCGGGTCCCTTCGGTAATAGAATAGCCGATGTAATTTGACACTTCAACTTACTGCGCTCTCTCCGAGTCTATTCAGCTACTCGCCCGCTGACGTTGAAGCCCATTCCCGGTGGCCGTGAGGGGGGGAAGATATTTAAAAACAAGAGCCGAAAATTAACGAGGACTTTCTCCGCGTGATAACCCCGGTGAGTAACTGCAAACTTAACGGCGCCCGTTCCCCGGCGTGTGTCGCCTCGCTTGGCGTTTTGTCTCGGGCAAGAAGAAGAAAAAAAAAGAGAGATTGTTGGGTTTTTTGTTTTTTTTGTTTCCACTTTGGCTCAGATTTGTTTCTCAACAATAGAGTGAGCACTTGAACCGGCAACCGAGCAGCACCGTGATGAGAAAACCGCCGCTCTCTCCCGGTTTAACCGCCGGCCCGGCGGCACTGAGCCGGCGGGCTGCTGGAAGCAGGTTGTGCATTTCGTGGGTGAACAGATGCCGCGTTGATCTCCAAAAGCGTTCGGTGGCTTCGGAGGGCGACATTGTAGCAGCCCCGTGCGCGTTGTGTATCGCAGAATGAATCACGCCGTGTGTGTGTGTGCGCGCGCAAGGTTCATTGGATAGCATTTTTTTTGTTGCTTTTTATACCCTTTTGGCCTCTGATGTGCACGAAGCACATGTTTCATTTGAATCTAATGCGGGGTTTTGTTGCTGCGTGCGTGCGTGCGTGCGTGCAGGCTGCACAGCCGCCGAGGACCAGACAGCGGGCACTGCGGTCGCGCGGATCCGACCTCCAACGTCACGTCGAGCGTTTATTTTCTTCAACTTTGTGAGCGGCAGCGCGCGTGTGCGCTATTAAATACCCGCGTAGTCACGTCAGCCCGGGGTTCTCTCGCTGCTGTGGCTTCGCGGGGGGATAAAACGAGCGGACTCCCCAAATGTTTGCTGTGTGGATTTGGATATAACTGGTTTGGCACTGAAAAGGGGGGAGAGGGGTGTGGGGGGGGGGGGTTCGTGGTTCATGTGCACCGGGGCTCATTTTCACTTACTGTACATCAATCAGTCCAGGAACCCAAAGGCACGCCCAAGTGGAAGCTACACTCTGTTCCCCCACGAAGCAGAGAGGAAGTGTGTTCATACAGATGTATTTCTCCTGGGGGGGGGGGGGGGTGTAGGTAATCAGTCCCAACGCACGTGCAGATGTTTCTTGTCTTATTTTCTGGTGAGATGTCCAGGAGGAGCTCTTCCTGTTTTTTGTTATCTTGCATTAAAAGTTCATTCGCCTCACGTCCCAAATGTGTTTTCCACACGTGAGACCGCTTGGACCCAGCTTCTGGGGGTTCGTGGGGGGGGGGGTCATGTAAGGCTTCTATGGTGTCACCAGTTTCTGTGCAGCGGAAGTCGGAGGCAGAACTCGGCCCCTTCGGTGATCTTTACTCAAACCCCTTTCTCACTCAAAACCTCCAACTTCCAGTAGCTTCTGTGGTGTCAGGCAGAGAAGGGAGGTTTTCTGTCCCGTCTCCCGTCCCTCCCAGTAAACCCACCTCTGTGAGGGGGGGCGCAGGTTGGGCTCCTTAATAACCATGGGGCAGACCCCACCAGGCTGACCTTCTTCTTCTGTTCGAGTCGTGGATGTTGAAACACCAGCCGGCAAAACAAAAGCCACATTGAAACCGAGATCTGCAACACCAGCACGCGTGCGTCTGGCCGCTGGAGTCGACCAACGTATTGACCGAGTTTCCCGCTGACCAATGAGAAGCTTCACTTTTTTCGCACGGATCCTTTTTTCTTCTTCTTCATCTTCTTCCTTCTCTTTTTTTTGAAACCAGTAAAAAGCAGACTTTTTTTTTTGGTTCTGGACTGCAGCCAGTCTGTGTGCGCGGCGCCCTGGATTGACAATAGCAACACGTTCTCAGTGCTGAGCGGGAGTTTTTGCTCTCGCCCTTCCACCCTCCCCGACGAGGTGAGAGCAAAGGCGGAAGCTGGAAATGGCTCTGCCACATGGGAAATTATTCAACCCTCAGATCCGAGAGGACACACAAGAGGCCTCATTACCTGCTTGCAGAAGGCCGGCCGGCTCGCAAGGAGAGCCGCTGTGTCCCGACTGGCCGCACGCACCTCCTGAAACGTTATCCGTGTACCCTCCTTGCGTCTTGAACCCATGCACGGTCAGTACTTAATAAATGCTTTGTGAAGCATTTGACTTCCTGCGCCGTAGCTCCTCCCCCTAATGGTTAGCGGCCTTCTGCCGACAACGCGGGCGGTTCGATGCCGTATAATGTCATAACGTTATCGATCCTACTTGGGGCGAACTGTTCCCGCGTACCGAGGGCCCTCTCAAGCACTAAAACAGGAAGAAAAGACGGGCGGGTAAGCGGCCCCCGATGGCTCATCTCCCACCCCCCCCGCGGTCAGAGGCTGCGGGAGGTTTGTGTAGGTTTCGCTCAAGGTCCTTTTTGTGTTGTCTTTGCTCGAGTGGATAAACTCCGAGGCCGCTAAGGCTATTTTCAATGAGTGCAAGCGTGGCGCTCGGCCACTGGGCACTTGTAGTGGCTCGTCAGGTTTAGTTAGCTGTCAATCAGCTTTTGTTTTTTAAAATTTGTTTTTAAATGAATAGTTATGAATGTAAACACTAATATTAGTAATATCTTTGGCAGCGAGATTGTTTACAACCAGGGAAGCTTAACTAATCACATTTGCTCAAGCACAAATTGTGTGCTGCTTTACACCACAGCATCGCGTTTTTCTCATTCGTCTTAAAGAGTATAGTTTTCTAGTATGAAAATACTGCATGCAAATCTTATTGGAAGGTATGACGCTCGTTGGAGAGGAAAATGTTGCTGATGAAGCGGGTCGGAGCCGTCAGGGTCCCTTCAGAAGACTTTCCCGGGTAAAAGAACTTTGGGTCAGCGGCATGTGACCTTTTTGAAAGCGTGCAGCGGCGTCACAAGCTTCCCATGAGTTTCACCAAGCGGTAATTTCCCCCCCTCGTATCTTCAGATGGTCGCAGTTGAGCGCGACTAACCAATATTTCGCATCCACGCTGTGACACCAGCCGACCTTTAGAGGTCCTGACCCCAGGTTTCCGGCCTGTGATACAACAACAACAACAACAACAACTCATCTACTTAATCTTGTCTGACGACACTTCTTTATTTGAGCTACGACTTAGTAGTTCATTTTATTCCGTCACGCAAAGAGATCAGAAGTCTTTATCGACATTGCAGGATAAAACTGAACAAAAACGTCTCCAGCATCGTGTTGCCAAAAACTTCCCACGGGTTATTCTGCATTCCTCGCACGCGCGTGCGCGTTGATTTGTGACGCTCCGCGACACCGAGCCGCAGTAACACGTGTACCGTGCCAGATCTATCCGCCCGTGGGCTTTCCAGGACGGAAAGAATGGCCAGACTGTACCTGTCAACCCGACTGTTGACTGTTAAAACGGAGCTTCTATTTTGAAAACAGCGCTCGGGGAAAGGGAATCTGTGCGTGTTTTGGGTTCGCGCGGGCCGATGGAGATACAGAGCGAGACGACGCACGGGAGAGCCACCCGGGAGTGACGCCAGACCACACGGCGCTTAATCGCGTTTGAGAGCGCTGCAGACACTTTTTTGCGCATATTTTCGGGTCGCATTGGTGATAGCGGTTGTTATTGTGCCGGGTGAGAGAGGGAGAGAGGGAGAGAGAGGGAGGGGAGGGGGAGAACAGGAGCGGTGACCGTTTTGCTGGAGAGCAGAAATATGAAGCTTATTTGAGGTTTTGAGATTCGTCAGATCGTAGATAAATTTCGTCCTCGTGGACAAATTATGGCATCAAAAGTCTTTTGTTTTGCGGCTGCGGCCCAGGAAATGTGTTTTTGAAAAATCTGAACATTTGTAACCACTCGAAAGTTGTTTCCGTGGAAGGATGACCATTGTTCGTATTAGCACTGGATTTGAACGCGTCCTTCTGGCTTAATCCCACTGTTGACTCGCCTGCTAAGTACTGGGTGTGTTATTTTTGCTCTTTTTAGGGAGCCCCTCTCTGCATAATCTCACTTAATCTAATCTATCCCCCCTTATAATAGACTGGGAGCGATGTGACTTTATAGAACAAGCTTTAGTGCAGATCCCTACCAAACAGACGTGTGTGCCGGCTACTTCCCCGACCCCTCTGGCAAAGCTCTTGTGAAAATGCAAGTGACCTCCGCGCCCCTTGTTAGTCTGAACAATAGGCCCGCCTCCTCTTCCAGCTGCAACCATGCTGGAGGGGAAGTTAGCCGGAACAGAAAACACACAAACTTGTGATTAATGGGTCTGAAAACTGTATTTTTGGCTTGATCCCACGGCTGCTTGGTGCACCAGGAAAATTCCCTCTTTTATTTAAAATATCAATTGGGGGCTCCGGTCCTCCTCTCCATGATGAATCTTCTATAAAATCTCCCATCACACACATCCAAACCTAAATATATTCAGTCTACTGTCGTATATGACTGAGAAAAGCATGACGACTTAAAACTGCAAAGTGACTCGCAGAAATGTGTAAGATATGGCTGACGTGAAACAATTACATTAATCAATGGATCGATTCTCACAGTACCTGTTTTTAGGAGGATGTTACAGTATCTAATGTCATCTGACAAAACCAGAAAAGTAAAGACATCAATGAGAAAAAGGTTTAGCCTTAAGTACATTTATACACAACGAAAATAATAATTCATTTCCTGTAGTTGCATGCCTGCTTCCTGGAGATCTGGATCCGTTGTAAGTTAAACAAGAGATGGCAATTCAAACCCATTAACGCTTTGCTCACGTTTGTTGCCATCAGCAGCGCTGGTAGTTAAACAGGCGAGTTAACGGCCGCCACGGAGAACCAGATCCAATCTGTGAGTCTTAACCCACGATGGCTATAATTGGGGCTTTTGAGGCCCCCAGCAGTCGCAGACTGATGCATGTTGAATGTGCCGTGCTGTGAGAAACACACGCAGATGATGTCACAGCGCGGCGCCGCACCGCTGAGTGGAAATGAAAGGCTCCGAATCACGAATAACATCCGGCTTCTCCAAAGTCTCAGCCTCTATGAATCCGACCCGGGGACCTCGAAGGGTCGTCAGAGTCCCCGCAGCACGAGAAAGTGTGTCGCATGGCAGACATGTTTCCTCTCTTCAGGTTTCAGACCGAGGGACTAAGCAGGCTGCTCTGGGAAGGTAGCAAATGTCTCAAGA